CAAATCTGTTTACCTGATATTTGTCCCTTAGAGTTCCTTTTCCTATTTAGATCTGAAATCGAAATACTGACATAAAAAATAACTTTCTGTCAACATGACCATTTCCATCTAACAAAAAGGTGTTGTATCAAAACTTGAAGAAAATCTATAAAAATCAAGGCTGTTCTGAATGTTCATGATTAACATAATATTTATCCTTATGTTTAAAACAAATCCACAAAAAGCAATTTTTTGAACCTAAAGAACCTTAATTTACAAGATATTTTTGCCAGTATGTTTTTGAGATTTACACTTTGATTTCCTAAGCTTGAGTGTGTTGCCTAAGCCTTGACTTTTCTGGAAGGAAATACATTTTTAAAAAAATGAACCACTCTCGGAAGGTCAAGTCATCACATATACAGAAAATAATTTAGCATTCACGGAAGATCTACATATACAAAACTCCTTTTATATGAATGAAGGTAGTCTTCTGTAGAATTTTTTTGGTGTTTATGTTTTAATTAAAAATTTAGTAATAATCAAAGTAAATATGAATAAAGTTCTAAGTATTTTTGCCTTGTTTAACATCTTAAACTTAGATCTCTGAAAGTCTTGTGAATTTCACTTTTTAACACAACTGTTAATTTCCTCCCAATACAGAGTTGTAAATAAAAATGCAACCAACATTTTTGATTATGTTAGCCTATTTCTTAGATACTGCTAAAGTTGACAGAATCTAGTCACAAAATTTTCCCTGAACATTTTTGGTAAATGATCGAGAAGAAATGCAAAGAGCAACATATAAACTAGAAGTGATGGTAATGAAAACCACAGGTTTAGGGACTAAAAGTCCTTAACTTTTTTGGTTCTTGGCTCTGTCATAATTAGCTGAGTGTTCTTGGGCAAGTTATTCAATCTTTGGGACCCAGTATCTTCATCTAAAATGTGAAAGAGATTAAATTAGGTGATCATTAAGGTCCTTATCAGCCATGAGATGCTAAGATTTTATATTTCTTCTGAGAAATAAAATTCTAATACAAAAGAAGGCAATGTGAATAAGTAGGAAAGCTTGGACAAGATAAGGTAATAAATTTAGGCAAATACAATCTGAACTGGGTTTTATAATTTATCTAGAAGAGTTCTCAGGTCATGATACCATTGTAACTCCAAAGTCTAAGTGAATCCTAAACGGAAATAAGACAAAATGACCATACCTCACCTCCCTAAATCTCTATGAATGAATTCAGATATCAAGGTAGAAAATTTTTAAGTTGTATTTCTACCTCTAGTGACAGTGTGGTAGTTAAGTTTGTAATTCACACAAAGATAGACAAGATGACTATTTGTGGACTAATCACCAAATCTAGAATCACAACCGTTTCACAGAACCAAAAAAAAGGAACTTTGGTGATTTCCTTCTACAAACTCATACTAGAAATGAAGAAACTTCTGAGGTCACATGGATTTAGTAGTGGGAGGGGAAACAAACAAAAACAAAACCCCAAATCAATGACAGCTTAAATTTGAAAATAAATTGACAAAAATTGTTTTAGATTTAATATTAATTACAAGAGATAAATCAGGACTTTTTATGTACCAGCAATATGAATCAAGGGCTTTAAAAAACCATCTATATCTATATATCTATTTCACCTAACAAACAAGAGTCTATGTAGGGGAGTATGGGATATGATTAAAAGGTAAGAATGCTGAATGTTGAACCGGGAACTGGAACTAGGGCAGGAAGTGTGACAGGACTTCAAATAGTATATGAAGGCCATTATATTATGCTGGAGAGTGAGCATACTTAGTATGTTTCCATGAGCAAAATAGGAACCTGTAGGTTTAACATTTAAGGAGGTAGTTTTTGGTTCAATATATGGACAAACTTTCTAATAAAAATTACCAAATTTTTAATTTAGAAAGTTGTTGAATTTGCCTTCACTAAAAATGTTTAGGCAGACAGAAGTTAGAAACTAGTTTTGTTTTGATAGCTTCTAACTAAACGATTCTCTGGGTAGGAGTTTAGATGAAGTAATCTAAGACTTTTTGAGTCAATTTCTCATACAAGGAAACCACTGGTGTGTGCATCAGTGCCTGGAATGGCTTATAATTCCTACTGCAGTCCTGTAAGTTGCACTCCTATAGCAGCAGGAGATAAAAAGAAAGGATCAAAGGAGTGGGGTTGGGGAGGGTGACAGGTGCTTAGGAAAAACTAAATTTGGAAATTCAGCTAGGGAAGACAGAGTCCAGATTACCAAAATGTATATACCTTGTTAAAAAAAAAAAAAGACAAAAACAAAACCCCTCCACCAAATGTCTATTTTAAAAGATATCCTTGAATTAGAAATTTCTTTTAGTACACAGACAAAACATTATTTTAATGTAGGAAAAAAGGTAACTTTAAAGAAATAAAGTAAAATGATTCTTCAGGTAGTTATTAAAGTATGACCCCCTAATTAGCTTGCGTTCACAGGATTCATGAGCCCTGATCAGTCATTCAGAAATCTATTTTGAAAACCAAAGTTTGCTCAGCCTGTAATCCCAGCATTTTGGGAGGTTGAGGCAAGTGGATTGCCTGAGCCCATGGGCTCGAGACCTACCCGGGCAACTTGGCAAGACCTTGTCTCTACAATAAATCAAAAATTAGCCGGGTGTAGTAGCATGCGCCTATAGTTCTGGCTACTTGGAAGGCTGAGGCAGGAAGGATCGCCGGAGCCCAGCAGGTAGAGGTTGCAGTGGCTGGGAGCGTCCCACTGCACTCCAGTCTGGGTGACAGAGTGAGACTCCAACTCAAAAAAAAAACACACCAAAGTTTGCTGTAATTCACTCAGTGGCAAACTATGATCAGACTTGAACTCATGACTGCAAATGACATGGACATGAGATTATTTGTAGTCAAATATTCCTCTTAGTGTGAATATCCTTGCACTTCACTATACCACTGTAGAACTATTAATGAATGTATTTTACTACCTGTGTATTCCAGACTTTGTTGTGGATGTTACGCGATAAATCCACTTTCTACAGTTAAAAAACATAAAAACAAAAAACGAACCTAAAGTTTGAGAAACATTTGAATAAAGATGAAGGCCCTGTGGATTCACAAAATCTAACAATTAAAATATTCAGTGAGCTGGTTCGGTGGCTCAGCCTGTAATCCCGCCCTTGGGAGGCTGAGGTGAGTGGACTGACTGCCTGAGCCCGCGGGTTCAAGACCCGCCTGGGCAAGTTGGTGAGATCTCATCTCTACAATAAATCAAAAAATTAGCCAGGCGTAGTAGCGCGCACCTGTAGTTCCAGCTACTTGGAAGGCTGAGGCAGAAGGATCGCCGGAGCCCCAGCAGAT